TTGGCTTAGAGCACCCATGGCGCTGTGTAGGAAGAAATGCTCGTAGTCGAATGCATCCTCGCGGTCTTCATGCGAGATTTGGTGCTGAACCGTATCGTGATAGAGCGATTCGCCACCAATGCTCATCTGATCGTCGTCGAGCTCTTGCGCATCCTCGAATTCCTCGTCCCCGTTTTCGGTAAATGCATCAAAGCTGTCCTCTTCCTGAGACATGTGCATGCCCGCAGTTGCCGAGGCCGGCTCGGGGAAATGGTCAATGGCTGACTCGAAGCTCCCTGAAACATCGCCCTCCTCGTACGAATCGTCTTCACTATCCAAATTTCCTCGCAGATGTCCATAGCTCCCTGGGTGCTCTCCGTCGAGACTCGAGTCCTGTTCGCCATTCCATGGGTTCCTTTGCAGAGATTCAGGCGTGAAGATTTCAGAGTTCCTCGCTGAAGGCGTCTCTGTGAACCACTGATCGACTTGAGCATGAGTAAACGGGCTAGGCGTCCTAAGGCTTTGTACGCTCCGTCGCTTAATGCTGTCGACCCGAGCCTGTTCCCGTAGACTAGATATTTTACCCTTTAGATCTTTCATCTGGTCCTTGATATCTCGCATTTGACTCGTGGGAGCAGGTGTAGAGAGTATATCCCTCGAGCTTCCGCTGCTATGGTCGCTACCGTAAGATGTCCCATGATAGGAATGAATGGGACTCTCGTCGTCATCCGGGGCGGTGCCATCCGGCCTCAAGGTTTTACCTGTCAATATGTTGTACGTCTGACGGTGGGCATCGTCTTCCCACCCTCCTCGGATGGCCTCCGCGCTTTTCGATGCCGTTATAGACTGCCTGGGATTTCCTCCGTGAGAACCCATGGCACTGTGCGACCTCTGGACGGATATCCGATATGGCAACCCATTCCGCATCGCGATATCGCTAGTCATTCGCGTATGGCCAGAGTAGTTAGCTGACGACGAACGGTACCCGCCGTTCCGGCTGTTGGCAGATGCCGTTCGCTGAGGGGGTGAGGGTGTGCCATCGGATGAAAGGGAGGGAGCAGTATAGTGAAGCGAGCTCCGTGCGCGACTCAGGTTACCCTCCATAGTCTATTAGGGAGAAAGTTAGTTCAATCATGCAATATATGGGACAAAGTTACACACAGTGACGTACGGTTAACCTCTTCTTCGCATTGGCCAGAATCTGCTCTGCTCTTCGGCTCAAGGCAGTCGTCGAGTAGGTAGACAACCTTTCACCGTTTTCACCACCCGCAACTCCCAGAAGATTCCGATCTCGGGGTATCGTTCCCTCAACATACGAGGAAGCCATGCTTTCCTCGTCATCACCCTGAAAAACACTATCATCTACACTAGCCGCATCGTCAATGTTGATGTCGGCAAGGAAAGCTGGCCGGTCCTCCATGGTTATGGTTGTGATTGTGCTGGTGCTCTCAGTGCTCATTCTCCTCTCTTTTTGCGCGGTCAAACTGGGCTTCAGTCTCTTGGCCAATCCTGACTGGCCCGTTACGGGTGAAGCTGACCGCAGCACAGCATCGATACTGTCGTTCCTCCTATGCGTAGCCGGGCCTCTGAGGCGGGTTGGCGAGGGCCGCCCAGGAGTGCTCTCCACCTCGGTCACTTCCCCGATATCCGAGAGGATGGTGCCATTCCCATATATTATGGGCGTGGTCGGCGTCAATGGTGCTGAGGACCCATATGTGTTTTGCTGGTTGTATCCCATTTGCGCCGAGTTGACGGCAAACATCTTGTGTAAGTCCGAAGTGGCCGTCACAGCAGCCTGGGCGCTCCTCCACATCATAAACTTGGACCGGATGCGGGCGTCTATCTCGGAGTCGGGGGAGTTGCCGTGGCCGTAGTACGGGTCGTCGGGCAATATCATGTCCGGATTCGAGAGCGTGGGTGACGCCGGAACAGACGATGAAGGGGAGGTCTGAGACTGTGGCTGTGGCTGTGGTCGTTGTTGTTGTTGAAGCCCACGACCGGGGGTGTGAAGGTTCGCCGTTTCCATGGCGGCCGATCGAGCTGTTATAGCGGCCATGGCGTACAGCTAGCTGGCCCGTCGGAGATTCGATGCTGCAGGTGCTGTGCGTTTAGGGCGCTGCTACTGCAAGCAACACCTAATAGCCTGGGTCCAACGGCAGCACCTCCACTAGGTTCTGGGCCGTCGAAAATGTCAAGATCCACCTCCACAAGAACGGCGCATGCACGGGGCACGCCCACGTCACTCTGGAATCTCTCAAGCAATTGATTGTTTCCCCCGGCTGTTTGTTGACTTTATCACCCCTCAAACGCTTCTTTTCGTTTTTGTCACTTTTTGATCTCTCCGGAGCTTTCCGTGTGTTGTGGCTGCTCGCGTGTGTCGTGCGGGAAAGCCGGGTGCGGTGCAGGCGCAACGCAACGCAGGCGCACTAGAGGTAAGTATGGGTAGGTCTGTTTGTTTGGCGAAAAACAGACCCGTTCTTCCCTTTTCTTTGGTCGATTTGGTGATTTGTTTGTGTTTGCCCACGCGGTAAAGGGCAGGGGGGAAGCGGAGAGGCGTCGCCGAGTGCGTCGAAGAGATCTGTAAAGGTACCTAGGTAGTAGGTAGGTACGTCTTAAGGCGTACAAGACAAAGGGAAACTCCAGCTCTTCAGTTGACTCTCGTCTTTAGTTTACCCAAACAGGCAATCGATATCAACGTCAACCGGCAAGGCACTCCACGATGACTGAGGGAATGGATCAATCGGTGATTCGGTGTTCGAAGTCGACATTGGGCGTCCGTCAAAAGTGAGCCATCCTGCGACGACTGCGTAAGTGAGATCGTTGTTCGAGAAAGGGTCGCGCGTAGGAAGGTAAATTGGATCAAGGAGAAGGACAACGGAGCGGATGCCCGGACTTTGCAAGTGCCACCAGCCCGGATAGGTCTTTTCGCGCTCGACAAAAAAACAAAAAAAGGCAACAACTGAACGTTTGCAGCTTGAGCAAATCGATAGGAAGAAATTAGACGTTGCAAAGTCCTCTCTTCACATCCACATGGAAGAAACTCGACACGGCACCTCCCCTAGCCAGCACAAAATGGTTAGCCTCTCTTCTCCCTTCTGGACCGCACTTCCTCTGGGCTCTCTCTCATGGGAGATTGCATTGCCGGCGGGAACCACTCTTTGACTTTCAACACTCTCGAAATGGCAAGGATAGGGGCTAGTACAGGGATTTATTCGACGGAGAGACCGGGGGGGTCTGAAGAAAACGTGGGCGGCCCCCCTCCAACAACCCCGGCCACAAAGTCAATCCAGTCGGATTCATCGAGTACCTGAATGCCCAGCACATTGACCGTGGGCGCCGTGACATCCTCCGTGGGGCTAATAATTTATAGAGGGGAGGGGGGGGGGGGGGGCACTCGGGGAAGAATTTCACAACTTAGCACTCGTCGGTATGAACCGACCAACCAGAAGAAAGCAACCGTGGGATTCGGCCATATTGGTGCACCACCCGTCACCCAATCGTCACCATCGATGGGATCCAATCGTCACCATCAATGGGATAGTTGGATACCCAGGAAGGAGAAGGGAAAAGGAAGGCAAAGAAGAGCCAGCGAGTCGTAAAGAACCACTGCCCTAGGCACTTTGGCCAATAACTCAATACAATTGCCAGTTGAGCTGCAGTCAGTAAAGACCTAGAAGGAAATCACTTGCTGGCTCAAGCCAGGGGCACTGCTATGAAGCCAGGCCCAAATTCCTCTTTCTCGATCGATCATCGCCACGTCTTTCGTCCACCGGGTCCGTCCCCTTAGCCGCGATGTCGAGTTGCACAACATCAAGCAGTACTTCCACATCGATACCAGCCGGCGATCCTCTCTCTTCGTATGTATGCAAGTCAAACGATAACATCATCCATGCCATCGGAATGCCGTGGGCGCTGACCCGTGCTTGTACGTAGGTCAAGTTGATTGAAGTGGAGTCAGACCATACAAGGAGTTCACAGATGAACACCCTCGACGACACCATCATCAACGACTCGGCACCCAATTCGCTACCCAATTCGCTACCTAAGTATCTCTTGCAAGACAACGCTTCGGCACGATCCCATTCTGCCGTCTGTCTGCGCCTAGGCCCCGAAGGGTCGGGCTTCCGTTAGCGTCCTGTATGCAAGTACGCAAAGGGGCTGCCGTTGAAGACACCCGAGACACACTTCGTGACTAGGTACGAAAAGACAAAAAAACCGGTGCGAACAGACATGGTAGAAGATGCAAATCATAGCCGACAATCAGTACCATGGTATCCTGTCCATGCGTTCCCAGAGAAAGGGACGTTTGCCCTTTTAGGCCGCCTCCAGGCCCCAGGGAAAAAAAGTCTCCGAACTTGAACAAGCACTGGACCCGACATGGATCGAAGCGGTGGTCCCCGATTACACGGCAAAAGCATGCATGCATGCCCTGCCCAAGCCCTCCAGATGATGATCGCTCGCAATGCCATGTAAAAGACAACACTCCTTTGTCCTCCGGTCTCATGCGTTTGCGGGCGATGCACAACAGCACGGGATGGGTCCGTTGAAGCCATGGATCAGGGGTTCACGCCCTTTGGCTCACTCCCATTCTTGAGCCACTCCGGTCACGATTGAGCTGACCGAGCAAACTCCCAAAGAAGAACAACAGGAAGATCGTTTCGGCCCTGCCTACCCGCTAAAAAAGATCGACCAAAGGAAGTGTTCATGCCTATTTCCAGAATTTCAACTTATTTCCATTGTGCCCCCGGCCACTGCGAGCAGTGCCATGGACTCAATACGGATACTCAGGTCTATCATTGCTCGAGACTCAACAATGGTAAATTAATTCAATGCTAACAAGGTTGCCACACATCGACCCGCGAGTCAAACCCAATCCACCCACTGAGGGCAAGACAATACTAACGACCCCGTGGCACAATCTTTTGTTGTCGACGCCATTATTCTCTTTGTGTCCCAAGGATTCGTAGGTGACAAGTTGTCAGACATGGCTGGAAGTCAATAGCAAGGCGAGGCTCAAGTAACGAGATGGATGCAGTAAAGTATTGTTTGTCCTCAAATGGGTCTTCATTGATTAACGCCTAGTAACGCTTCAGACGCTAGATGCCTCAAAATTTAAAGGCACCATCCTCCTCCATGATCAAACCCCATAGAGCTCCATATATTTTCTTTTTCTTTGCCTGTCCTACAGAGACCTCTCTGTCTCCTCCACTGCCGAGCCAATGGCCAATTACCGGCGTCTAAGGATATAGGATAGGAAACGAAAAGATGTTGAAGTTCTTTTGTTTTCCCCTGAACGCCGATGCTGTATTCCTCAAATGTTCGTCACCCTTCGGGTATCGCAAAACGTCATGAATTGGGCCTTCCTGGCTCATGCAAGTCTTTGTTGAAAGACACCTACCACCCACCGGTCTGACCCCCTCTTTATGAAAGGTGTTTGTATTCATAAACTCCCGAGGCAAACAAGACCACATGAAACACGTTGGATATGTCTAAACCCAACCGTACGCCCATTGTAAATGCCAAAATAAAAAGAATCTAAAAAAGATAGCCAACAAATTCACGAGACTATATCAGCAGGGGCAACTGAGCCACCTGCGAGAATATCTGTCCCAGTTTAGAATTTGAGAGCCTTGGGCTTCTCCCAGCTGAAGGACTGGTTGGTACCAAAGTGGCCGTTCTTGGCGGTCTGGAGGTAGATGGGCTTGGCAAGATCGAGCTCCTTGACAATGACACCGGGGCGGAGATCGAAGTTGTTGCGGATGATCTGGACGAGCTCCTCAGAGGTCTTGTCAGAGGTGCCGTAGGTATCGACGTAGATGGAGAGGGGCTCAGCGACACCGATAGCGTAGGAGAGCTGAACAAGGGCACGGCGGGCAAGGCCAGCGGCAACGAGAGACTTGGCGATCCAGCGGCCGACGTAGGCAGCGGAACGATCGACCTTGGAGAAGTCCTTGCCGGAGAAGGCACCACCACCGTGGGCACCCCAGCCACCATAGGTGTCGACGATGATCTTACGGCCAGTAAGACCGGCATCACCCTGGGGACCACCGATGACGAAGAGACCGGAAGGCTGGATCTGTAGTGGAAATAACGTGTCAGTGATGCCGCCAAAGTAGGCTAAATTGACAGGTTTTGGACTTACGTGGTAGACGGTCTTCTCATCGAGATACTTGGCGGGGATGGTAGTCTTGATGATCTTCTCAAGGATCTCCTTGCGGAGCTCCTCAGTGGTGATCTCGGGAGCGTGCTGAGCGGAGACGACGACGGTGTCGACGCGGAGGGGAACGACGGCACCGTTGTCGTGCTTGTACTCGATAGTGACCTGAGTCTTGGTGTCGGGGCGGAGCCAGGGGAGGGAACCGTCACGGCGGGCAGCGGACATGGCGGCGTTGAGCTTGTGGGCGAAAAGGAGAGTCAAGGGGAAGAGCTCGGGGGTCTCGTCGGTGGCATAGCCGAACATGATACCCTGATCACCGGCACCGAGGTTCTCGAGACGGTCGTCAAGGTGAAGACCCTGAGCAATATCAGGGGACTGCTCCTCAATGGCAACAAGGAGGTTGCAGGTCTTGTAGTCGAAGCCCTTGGAGGAGTCATCGTAGCCGATGTCCTTGATGGCGTTGCGGACAACCTTCTGGTAGTCGAGCTTGGCCTTGGTGGTGATCTCACCGAAGACCATGATCATACCAGTCTTGGTGGCGGTCTCGCAAGCGACCTTGGAGAGAGGGTCCTCGGCCAAGCAGGCATCGAGAATGGCATCGGAAACCTGATCGGCGATCTTGTCGGGGTGACCCTCACCGACGGACTCGGACTGTACAGGTCGGATCAGCGAGTGGTTCGGCCATGGGCATATGCAGAGTGTCGGCGCAGACTTACGGTGAAGAGGAAGGTTCCCTCGTTGTAGTGCTTCGCACCGTTAACACCGTTGGTGGCCATTGTCTCTGATGTGGTTTCTGGGAGGAGTTAGCAATGTGCGCGCACAAAAGGCCAAGAGCTGAACGATTATGACTCGAAGAGAAAGGGGTTGAAGAGACAATTGGGTGGATGTGAAGCTTGGAAGTGCAAGAGGACACGGTCAACCGACTAATCACCCGGGCGCAAGGCGATGTACGGTATAGGAAGTTCGGGATGGCAGAGAGAGAGAGAAAAGAGGTGGTGAAGACTCCAATGGCAAGACACTTTGCTCGTTGAAGCCAGATGGTGTTTGGACCAAGGAGCCTGCACAATGGAGCTGCGATTGCCTTGTCCAGGATGCAGAATGACGCCTCAAAACTTTTTCTTTTTGGAGGACACGGGTTCGACACGTGGGGAGAGGGCTCTTGGGTTGGGATTGTTGGGGTTCGTCTTGACTGGAAGTGACTCACCTTCTGGTTGCGACGAAGCAAAAGACAGAGGAAGCAGAACCTACAAGAGGGAATGAAGTTAAGAAGAGGAAAGAGATTGAGGGCTAGGAAGGAGCGGAGTTTATGTGGAAAGAAAACGGGGGAGGTGGGTGTGGGAGTATTTGAGGAATTTTGCATCCAGTCGCGGACCCTGATGGAAAGGAGGCCGGGTTTCGGGCGCCAGAGACGGGATGGCGGGGTAACGAGAAACTTTCAATTCCGAATTGGTGTACAAAATAACAAATTCTGCCAGGGCTACTAAGGAAGAAACATGCACGAGCTGGGCGGGGCTCCCCTACGATGGCGAATTATGCGCGGGGATCACGGCAAGAAAGAACGGACCATCTCCATTTTACGCTTTCACGTGTAGGCGTCTAGCGTCTACGTCTGGCCATGATCAAGTGGCAGCAGGAGAGCGGGCAGAACGAATGGATCATTGATCTTAGACTCTGGGATATCAGGCTGAGTGGTGAACCCAAGTGCACTCTATAGGTAGACGTCCGAGATCGTGAACATGATCCAGCCGTCTGGATAGAGATAACCTCGAGATCGTTCTTTCTGTTGGAGTGCAGGAACTCGATCTCATCTGAAGTTCTTCAACATCTGCAGCGGCACGCAACCGCCCAGCGGCCGACGGTTCGGCCGACACCACATATTTTGTAGCGTGCCCCGGCCGGGTATGGTGTAGTGTACATAACATGTCAAAAGTCTGGATGTGACATTGGACCCGCTTTTTGAGAGAAGGAGAAATTGCGCAATCGCAGCCCTCTGGTCGTCCAATAAGTCGAAGGGTGGTGCCTTTTGGGTACCTTTGTTTGCCCTGCGAGCTCTGCCCGCGCATCGCTCTCATGGAAGCACACCGCATTTGACGCCATTCGTTGACATGATGTGACCCCAGTGGGGCACCTAGGTACTGATAGTGTAGATGCCGCAAAAAATTTATCAAGGCGCGCTTACACCGGCAGGCATGTCTCGTGGCAATCGTGCCTGCAGCAGCGGCAACGCTATCAGTATCCGTATCAGAAGTAGAAAGTTTGGCGATCGAGTCCGGGTATCGAGGCAACCTTTTCGTCACCAGTCGCATCATTTCGCATTGACGGGATTTTCCTTGTCACACCTGCACAGCACACAGCATCCGTTCCGAGCCCGAATAGACATCAACGACAATCCCACAAAGCTTCGTTCACACACCAAGATTCAGGTATCCAATCCTTTCGCCAGATCACCCCGCCGTATCACCGTCGCGCATCCGTCCAGTTGGGCTGCAGCTCAGAGTCGACAAGTAACTCCTCTCCACCATCCATATACGCACATCCTAGACGTCGGAGCATCATCGCAGCCATGAGCAAGTACGGCGTGATGGTGATGGGCCCCGCGGGGGCGGGAAAGGTAGGCTAGGCTCTTAGTTAACAGCAATTCCCCGTCTGCGCTTTCCGCTGGTTCTCTAACGGCTTGGTGTGCCAGTCCACCTTTTGCGCATCGCTCATCACACATCTTCAACTTAACCGGCGCTCTGCTTTCTACGTGAACCTCGATCCCGCCGCCGAATCATTCGAACACACGCCCGATCTCGACATCAAGGACCTGATATCTCTAGAGGATGTGATGGACGAGATGAAGCTCGGCCCCAACGGCGGCCTGATCTACTGCTTCGAGTTCCTCATGGAGAACCTCGACTTCCTGACCGAGGCACTGGACTCGCTGACCGAGGAGTACCTCATTATCTTTGATATGCCGGGTCAGATCGAGCTTTACACGCATATTCCAATCCTTCCTACCCTTGTCAAGTTCCTCACAACACCCGGCGCCCTGGACATTCGATTGTGCGCTGCATACCTGCTGGAAGCTACCTTTGTCGTCGATCGTGCCAAATACTTTGCAGGTTCCCTGAGCGCCATGAGCGCTATGATCATGCTGGAAGTCCCACATATCAACATTCTCAGCAAGATGGATCTGGTCAAGAACCAAGTAAGGAAGAAGGACCTCAAGAAGTTTATAACGCCGGATACCTCGTTGTTGCTTGACGATCCAGCGGACCTTGCCAGGAGGAAGGCGGGCGAGGACACCTCGGATGACCAGTACGCCGATCCCCAGGATAAGAACGCCATGCTGTCTGGCGCGACGTTCAAGCGCCTCAACACAGCTGTCGCGCAACTGCTTGAAACCTTCAGCATGGTCAGCTACCTGAAGCTGGATTCCACCGACGAGGACAGTGTTGGGGCAATTCTGAGCTACATTGATGACTGCATACAATACCACGAAGCACAAGAACCACGGGAGCTGAAGGACGAAGAGTTTGACGAGTCTGAGGAATAGCTGGGAAGAGGAATGATTCGCAGCTTGGGAATGAAGGGGTCTCCAGATTTTGACTGAATTACAAATGGATTCGTCATTACCATATGGGCAAAATGTATAGGGATTCTGCATAGCGACGGCGTCGGGGAAGAAGATACAAGTTTGGCTCACCGAAAAAGAATGGGATGGGGTACGGAAGCAAAGCAATAATGATCTATATGTTCTTTTCCCACTTGACTACCAAAGCCCTTAAAACAACGCAAGGTCACCGCCTGTAACATTCATGTCCTCGATCCTTCGCACCTCCAAGGTCGCAGATCTCGAACATTGCCTGACAGGAAACGCCGTAACGCCATGGGATATGCGGTATTCCAACAGCCAGCCACCCTCCAACTTTTATCGTCGTGTCATCGTGATTTCGTCCGTAAAGCCAAAAAAAAAATCCACCCCGTATTCTCCTCCGCGAAGCATCGATTCTCCATCTCTCCTTTTCAAGAGTGATCGTCTTCTTCATAGTCATCATCCAAAATATCTCCACCATCATCTTGATCTTCCATCGCTGCCTGCCCTTTCCGCTTCACCCTGACGCCCTCCCCTTATCCACCCTTGCCTCTTCCTTGCTATCCAACGACATATCTCCCGCTTCTCCTCGTTAAGCACGGTCATACTTAGCATGACCCCTCGCCTTATCCTGCGCCTCGTACCTCTGCCACTCGGTCATGAAGAAATTCCAAATGCCCAGTCCATACCCGCTCGCCCTGCCCAGCCAGAACGTCGCATCTCTCGCGCTCTGCTCCATTCCGCGCCTGTACACCCAGCTCGCGACCGCCGCCATACCCGCCCAGAACACCAGCGTGAACGCAAGCCTGGTGAAAAACATGAGCACCCGTCGCATCCAGCTCAGAACCTGCAGCACCATGACCAGCAGCAACAGCACGCCGGCGAGAATGACCACGTCGGGGGAGGCGTAGATGTATGCCGTTAGCCGCTCAACAAGCGGCTGCATGATCGGGATGAGAGTGGAGATGAAGGCTTCGATTGTTGACATTATGTGCCGCTTGAGAGATTGGATGGCGGAGTCGGGCGAGAGGAGGTGTTGACGGGCGAGGGAGAGGTAGGGGTCTGGGAGGACACCTATGATGAGAAGAAGAAAAGAAGATGGTGGGTTAGCGGACGGGATCCATCACAGAAAGAGGGAGGAAGGTGATGGGTTTTATGATGAGGTAAAAGCAAAAGATGTCCACGTCAAAGTGTGAATCGCAACGTGGCGCTTTGGGCTCTTTTGCATTCTTTTGGGCTGGCATGCTGGTGAAGACTGGGGAAGTTCGGGGAGTGCGACAGGTTGGCGCAAAACTTACCAGTAAGAAGCTGGAGAGCCCATTCGATGGGGAGGTTGAATGGATCCATAGTGTTTGACAATGATCTTGCCGTGGCCTGTAGAGATTGGTGGGTAGTCGCGCGAAGCAAGGAGGTCTTATACAAAGTTCTGGCGAGGAAACAAGCGAAAATGTGAAATGCGATTTGCGATTGCGGTATCTGTTATGTTGTTTTGGAAGGGAAACGTGGTGGGGTAGTTGTGGTTTGAGGAAGTGAAAAAGAACCAGTGGAGCGACGGCGATGTTAGCGATTTCGTGGAGGCGGGGGGCTTTATCTTATCAACTGACCAGGCAACGGAGTGTGGGGCTTGGGTCACCGTTTGGGTTGTTCTCACCCTCTTCTTGTCATCTCTCACCAGGCTGCCCGAGATGGCGGCAACAGCGTTTGAAGCCCAACTGATAATGAAGGTAACCCTTCACTCCCGGTGGGGCTTGTATACTACGTGTACACCTCTAATGGGAGCATTGCAGTCGTGGGAGAACCTTTGAACCTAATTGTGGCCTTCCTCGCTCAGCTCTTCGAGGTGGCTTGTGACGGAATGTAATTCCGATGATTTTCCTTATTCGATCTAAGTAGGTTGTACGCTCTTTGGGGTGGACGGGAGGCACTTGGCAGTCCTCGCATTGCATGAACCGCAGCCTGGCAAAGCAGTAACGATACAAAGCAGCCGCATTGGTCTCTTAATTGAAAATCAATGACCACCATCTCTAGTAACCGTCTACTATGAGTACTTCTTCTTCATGACTCCCGTCCATTTTCTGCTTCTCATGAAAAACTGCGTCGTGGGGAACTTTCTGCTCTAATTGACCTTAATACGACGTGTTATGGGTCTCTAGAATCTCAATCGGTTAGACAGCCCATATTAGCTTGTCGAGTTCAGTGAGCGTTCTGGCCATTTACAGTATTATTATTCTGTAATGTACAGTAAAAGTCTATAGACTATCAAAACTCCCGTTTGGGATCAACGCTAACAACCTCAGCAGCGATTCCACATCTCAATCATTGAACCACATGTTTAACAAGCAAGTCTTGCGCTACAAGACCGTGATAAAGACGCGGGCCAGTTCAAAGCCCGCTCAAACGTCGTCCACGATATCATTAACCTCAGAGTCGAGTCACAGCTACTCATGCCTGTCGTTGACATGGTTGCATGACCTCTCTACCCCTGAAACCGCCCCTGACATAAATCCAACTCTTCACCTCGGGGTACTCTCCTGATCTGGCAGCTGGACGGTAAAGGATGCCGAAGTTCCCTTATTGCGCCTTCTTCGCCTTCCTGCTCTCCCGGAACTTGGCAATCTCAACCGCCACAGCCTTATCCACGCGCGTCTTGAGCTCCGGGCGGTAGCCCAGCATGAACAAGAGTTCAAGCCAGACGAACAGCGGAGCGAGGAAGATGGCCTGGAAGAGGTTGTCCAGGAGGGCAGGGGCACGGCCCTCAAATTTGCCGTGGCCGAGGAACTGCGCCAGCCAGCTCACAATATGGACGACAATGGCAACCTTGGTGGTCAAGACTGGGTCGGCAATGCGGAGATAGTTGGTGAATGCGCAAGCACCGAGGCAAATGAGCGCCAATGCGGTGCCGGCGACCGGCTCCAGGAGAACGTATAGTCCGCCCCATGTCAGAGCCGCGAAGGTGCCCAGGTTTGGCTCTAGGTAAGGTACCTGGAGCCAGGAGGGGAGTGTGAAGAACGGTCCATAGTTGGAGGCCTAGTTTGGAAGCATGAGGCGTGTGAGAACATGTCGCTAGGGACGAGGGAAAGTGGTTCGAGAATTCATACAATTTCAAAGGCCGAGAAGAGGATTAAAGGTACACATATCATGTGGATGACTACATTAACGTGATTAGAGTGGTAAGCACCATACTGCAAGCAGGGAGAGAACAAGTTAGCGAGAGGCTCCAGTTTGTGAATTTCGAGCGAGGTGAAGTGGACGAAACAAGCAAGGGTTGCCCAAGCAGGCCGACTTGGAGCATGTAGGTAGAGCTTGGAAATCTCAGGCAACAAAGCTTACAAAGGTGAGTTGCTTTTCTAGGTTGAGGGACATGGTGAAAGTGGTGCTTCGGATTTGCCCAGTATGATTAGGTTGGTGCTGTAGACAGCCTTGAGGTTCAGAGTGTGAATGGATGGCGAGATCTCGCTCAGTTCCGTGAGACCCGAGACAGGAGAGCGACGGTGGATGTCAAGACGAGATGCGTCGAGGGCGACCAGTGAAGAGAGGAAATGAATCACTGCCACATGTATATAAATGAGCAACAGGTGGAATTGGTAGTGTTCTAAAAGCAGAGCGTGCAGCTAGTGAAGACCAGAGAGCGGCGGGATCTGGTGATGTGGGAGTCTGTCTGGTGTTCCACTCCGCATATCCATCTTCTTATTCTCAGAGGGCTAAAAGCTACGTGTGGATGCCTCGGTTGTGGAGTCGCCATCAACAGGAGCAACCTGTTAAGGCTCCCGGCCGGCCCACCCCCGCAAACCCTCAACTCGACGGCCACAGCGCTATCAAACGCACGCTGACAGGAACGTGCCCCGCCTCTGTGGGTGCTCCTACCGACGCGGTTACCTCTCGGTCAACGAACGTTAACGTCACAACCTGAAGTGGAAGGCCAACAGCTGTGGTGTAAGAAAGGTGATCAATCCGGTGAGTTGCCCGTTTTAAGTCCTGTTTATGAGCGTTCTCATCTTTTTGGCTTCTCGAACCACCATACTGTTTTTGCTGTGGCTACTCGAATCTTCCTTCTTAAACATCATTCGACAGTCTGTCTTTGTCACATGTTAAAACGGCATGAGCCATGGTACCTTTACTCGAGGTTACAGCTACATGAACGACTAAAGAACGCCGGGGGCCGGTAGAAGACACACTCCTTTTGCAAAATCCGCTGCATAACAGTACAGCAGGTTACTTTACAAGCCATACAAAGAACATCTTATGCCCGGTCTGGTTGAATGATGTGATGGAATTGGGATGTTTGGTGTTGAAGTTGTGGACAACACCGAATCCCGGCAGCGCCAAGACCGCTTCCGTGTGGTCAGTGCTGTTCCTTGCAGGTTGTGCACGAGCCATGTGCTAAACGTCAAGGGACGAGTGACAGGCCAAGCTCGCAAGGCAAAGTCCCGAAACCGCGTCTGCGGCGGTCTCTATGTTGGAGGCTACCGCTTCCAGAACCTCCAAGCTTTTGTTCCATCATAATCGATATCTATTCCGTCAGCCTTGCTCTCCCGTCACGACGTATCCCCACAAAACCAACTATCGCCTTTGACACGATCACTACACCAGCATTCTTGCTGTCGATTTTCGCATCTCGCCCTCACTGTCACCTCCATCCCGACACGCGACTCCAATTGCCCAAGTCCCGACAACACTGCCGCCGCCGTCGCACCCCTCGATACGAGAGCCGCGCGAAGGCATCCCAAGGCGCATAACCTCTCCAGGGCATCAAGTTATCGACGTTCACGTTCAGCCGACGACACCCCGATCCAATAGTACCAAACCGCCACAATGTTCTTCCTCCATAACCTCGAACGGCGGGTTACCCTGCATCCGTCCTATTTCGGCAGGAACATGCACGAACTTGTTACGACCAAATTGGTCAAGGACGTGGAAGGGACGTGTGCCGGTGATTACTACATCATTGCCATCATGGATGCGTTCGACGTTAGCGAGGGTCGCATCCTCCCCGGAAACGGCCTGGCCGAGTTCACTGTGAAGTACCGTGCTGTGGTTTGGAGGCCGTTCAAAGGCGAAGTGGTTCGTTATAGCGAAGACTCTCGGTGGTGTTCTCTTCGTTCGGATTGTCTAACGAGGAGTCCCTACAGGTGGATGCTATCGTCTTTTCCATCAATCCTCACGGCTTCTTCTGCCAAGCTGGCCCGCTCTCCATCTTCGTTTCATCTCACGTACGATGACGCCTACGGTCTTTTCAAATATGCACATAGGATGCCCTCGAACTTCGATCGCTGACAAGAGGACTATAGCTGATGCCCGAAGAAATCCACTTCGACCCCAACGCGACGCCTCCTCAGTTTACCAATAACGCTGATATGGTCATTGAGCCCGGTACGCACGTGCGCGTCAAGATCGGTGGCTTGAGAACGGAATTGGGTGAGATGTATGCCATTGGCAGCATCAACGGAGATTTCCTTGGGTGAGTTTCCACGTCTTACCGGCGCGGTTGTGCTGTTTGTTATTAACCAGTTTCTTCCTTTCCAGGTGTCTGCAAGCATAAGGGACTTGCAAGATGCAAGAAGGTTATTCCCAAACGAAGGGTTTGGACTCGCTCAACTACTACGAGGTACTCGCTCAGCAGAGTCCTAGTGAACCCACGAATTAGAGTATACCCTGGGTTTACATCAACAGTTCTGGTCGGCTGATGAAGCCTCTGGCCCGGTCAAGAAGCAAGTCTTCTGGGCAATGCTGGAAGCCACCTGTATCGAGGGCCGTTTCAGATTCTCTGTGGCGGTTTTCGAAGGATCATGTTTGCCCCATAGCAGCGCGTGGGCGGCAGTATGATCGAGCCCCTTGTTGTGTTGCACACGGGAGTGTGGCGGTAACATGCTCAAGGGCTTTCGAGGAGATGTCTCGTCCGAATGAGACTCAACGGGGTTGGTATTTTTGTCATGATTTGCTTGGGGTGCGTAAAACCTTGTCTGTGGCGTTTTGAGGCATTATTGGGGCCACAAGCGGCGCCTGGAGTCTATTGACCTTTTTATCTTTTTGGGGTATTTGCAGCATGCTTTCTGTGTTTGAGCGTGATTACTGGTATTTGGGCAACTGACATTATCGACGTATCTGCGACATGAAGGACCTGTCGCTCTTGATACATGGGCACATGATGATGCCTTCGGAGATTTGCGGGTACAATGCCTCAAGGTTCTCGGGTGCTTGGCTTAGACTGACCAACAAAAAACGACTGTCTGCGATACCACAGAGGGCATCTCTTGCGATTGTATTAGAGGGGAAAATCTTGATCAGCTAAGGTGTTCAGTTGACACGAGCAAAGACAGTTAAGGGACACCGCAGCACTCGCTTGGCTCATAAAATCGACTCCCCGGTCTATCTTCCGAACGTCTTGACTAGGAAGCATTCAGTCCCGGGCTATTATACCATGTGATGGGACAGTACCCAACGAGGTGGGATGTTGTGATGGCTCAGTTGCCGTGGGGAGAAATCTCCCATTCCAAGCTGACAACTTGGTGCATGCCATCTACGATCCTCTCGCACATTTACAAAAACCTTGAAGCACCATCCCTCAATGATTTCATAATATTCAACGAAGTGCGGGGGTTACGCAGCAGTGAAGACGTGGGGAAAAGAATAAAACGGCAAAAAAAAAAAAAAAAAAAAAAGGGGGGGGGGGGGTCATCCACTAAGTCGTCGAGGTGATACTATGCAGTAAACGTTTGGCCGGTGACCTGTCCATCGTGAGGTTGCGATATCTCTTGACTTGTGGAAGAATACTATGGCCGAAATACGTCGGGCGAACTCGAGCAGAAGGGGGTAACAGTGGGGGCCAGATTGGTGTGAAGAAATCCCCAGAATGAAGTACAGCGGAGGCAAGAAGTTGGATGGGGGTGTGGGCATAGAAACACAAGAGAAAGAAGGCCAAAGTTGGAGGAACGACATCTGGACTTGTACTAAGTTGTCATTATATCCATTTGGGATTGAATCTGCTATCTATGCCGCTGGAGGTTCAGCCATAATCACGTTCCACCGACGCGGAGAGGCTTCCGTGCCGCTCTATTTCATCTCATATTCCCTCTATCATAGGGGTATCTTTAAACATTGGTGCACTTGCTATGACTGTAACACAACAGGCAAGTCATCGATGTTGTGCTACCATCTCTTTTTGTGTTGTTGGAAAAATTTGGAGGATTCCGTGCCGGCAATGTCTCTTTGGCGCCTGTTAAGCTGTCATTGCTGTCAGGACCCGAAAAGAGGCTGTAGATCGTGGTGAGGGGTGGAAGGGAATTTGTTCAAGATACACTTCTAGCATAAAGTAGGTATGTTCGTCATTGATCTTTTGACCAGTGGTCCAGGGGATCTTGAACACTGCCCGGTGTGATATTTACATATATTTGGGCATGCATCTACCCCCTATACCCTCAATTCCTTGTATCGGTGTAATCACATCATCCAGGACAGTCAGTGGTACAGTGTCAGTACGTCTTGCCCAGCCTAGATCCTGCGTCCCCAACGGGAATAGCCTCAAAACCCCGGCGTAGAGTAGCAATTCACCATCGATTTCTCCGAGGGGATGGCGCTTTCCCACTCACCCTAGCACTCGCGATTTGCCGTGCTTTTCCATCTGCATTACCATCGACGACTTGGGCTTCCCTTTCCCCCCTCGAATACCCATGCGGGTGTGGGGGTTCTCATTACATGGACGATAGAGGGTCGATAAAAACCCCAATTAGGCTGCGAAGAAGATGAAGGGCTGAAAACAGAAGAAAATCGGGACACCACCTATAAATGGTCAGCGTATCACACTCACCTGACCGCAAAGCGAGCCGGAGGGGACATGTATCGAGCAAACCCGCAGCAGCTTGTAAGGGGAGGCACGGCCATTGTCAATCCCGCCAACCAAGGCACGATGTCGTCAAGCCCAGTCCGATGGTCTTCGGCTTCCGGTTTCAGTTTTCATTTCATTTCTTTCGTTTCCGTTGCTCTTCAACCTCTTCACCTGGCTTCCGCTGTTTTCATACGTTTGGATTTTTCGTCCATTCAAATGTCTTACCGGTGTAAATTTATTCCGGAGCCGGAATGGTATTATAATCGACCTCGGTTTTCCCTGCCATTCATCCATTATCACCTGGCTATTTCGTGGGATCGATCCGGTCTCGAACGTGCAAAGTTTTGCGCTGGGGGAGCATTCCGGCGCCAACGATGTTTCCGGTCTACTGCATCGGTATCGATCGAATTGAATCGGAAACCTAGCACTCCTCATAGCCAGGGCCATGAACAGGGGCATCATCGATAAATCATAACCAGGGAAAGGGGAACATGACGAAAAAAAACAACAAGATTAAAAAGTAAAGGCAACCGCCGAGCATAGAATCCTAGCTACCATACCAAGCTCAAGATCAAGAATAAAAGTCACGATCCTCGTGACAACTCCAAAAAATGTCGGGCATTTCGAAATCAAGAAGCAAAGATTAGCACGAGCACGAGCACGTGGAAGTGATACGTCAGATTCACTGTACGTGATGCCCGAGACTCTCCAGATCCTCAAACACAGCGGCATATACTACAGGATCGCACTGTTCGCCGTGTAAGTCCTCGGAAGACCACTTACCTTTGACTGTAGAAGATCCCCCCAACTTGGCTGAGTTGAACGAACCGCCTCCGCGTTCACGGTCCGCCCAGACCGGAGAGTTGGAGGGGGGGAACACTATCACACTGCATTCACTTCAACTAGGTCTCTCTAGAGTTCACACCAAGCACAAGCACAAGCACGAAAGCACAAAGCTCTATGGCAAGCCGAAGAAGCCACAAACCACAAACCAACCTCACTGAGCCTGCCAATCCGCCAACCAGGATCTCGGAATAGGTGGCATTGACAAGGATTTTGATATTGGGTTACTAGTACTCTCCCAAGTGCCAATACAGTGCGCTTGTCATTGCCATATATCCCTTACAATTCTATTCAACTACATCCCGACGTGATATGCTCAACCTCGTCGGGGTGACTTGTCAACCTGACCAGTGGCTAGTGGCTGGTGGCTGGCGATGAGTGATCACTGACCGATTCTCGAGTACTGAGTACCAATATGACGGATAGACAGACAGACTGAAGTCATTCCTCGGTAATTCGTGTACGGTTCAAGTAGAAAGGTCAGAGTCAGGTGTCACACTCTCCCCCTCTATCGCTCCAAACTCTGACGAAAACGCGAAACCTCTTTGAGATCAAGGCTCCGTCGTCCAGCCAGCCCCAGTACAACTGCTAGCCTATATACAAACATAATCTTCAACTAAATTCGAACAAAATATGGGTAAAATAACGGTCCCTGGCCGTGCGGGAATCAGCAGTATACTTACACATAACACACGGCATCTAATCTACCTGCCAAGCTGAATCACAATGTCCGCCTAGATAACTCTTGTTTCCTTCGTTTTCCCTCCTCTCCCAAGCAAGCAAGGAACACAAAGAAGGAAAGAAAGATCTTTTTGATACATTACATATCAGATATTACAGATTTCCGTTTTCAGATCTTCCGTGCCAAGATCCATTTGCCTCCGTGCATCACGAATCTCAGGCTAACCATGCAGGCAAGTCCGAAGACCAAGGCTCCTGCAAGGAAGGCCATGAGGGCCTTGGGCCCTTGTCGCGAGAGTATCGCTTCTGTGGCGGGGTTTCCCAGTAGTGTTGCAAAGCTGGAAAAGGTGTATACGAAACCGAGCCAGGTGCCGATTGTTCTGGAGGTACAAAGACCACTAACGCATTGTACTGTTAAAGAGAAAAAGATGAGTGTCTGTAAGCTACCACCATAAAATCAAAAAAGTACTATGCATCGCAGAGAATGTGTGCACTGGAGACTTACCGCCAAGAGGCACAAAGCTTCCAGTGCCAACTCCCATCAGCACAGTGACGACAAACAAGGCTGAAACTGCCATTGCCCCAAAGGGCAACCAAACGACCAGGACCACGAGCAACGTAAAGACGTTCATGATTATGATGGTGTTCACTGGGCCTAGCTTTCGATCGGACAGCCACGAAGGTAGCGTTCTCCCCACAATAGCACCGCTGTTGGTTTGGGTTAAGCGGCAGCCGTTCTCAGGTTAGCCACAGTACTTTCCATGATATTAGCGGCAAGGGAGACTTCGACCAATCGGAATGCAGCACTTACAAGTTGTAAGTCGTCATGAGGTAGAACTGTTTATCGCCAAAGTTAGTAGAGACGGCGTATGAGGGAATCGATCCCCACTGGCTGAACAAAACCATTTCATATGCTGCGCAACAATCATGGTTGTTTCGTTAGTTATGGTATGACTCTCGGTTAAGAGAAAGAGAGACACGCCAAGCTGATCTTGGTTGGGGTGTCTAGTGTATCAAGTAATAGACTGGGGGACCTACCAAAAATGCTGAAGCTAATTAGCCAGAATTTCGGGGATATAATCATATCCCTGATCGCCGTAAAGTCTCAACTGTCTTCAGTCTCTGCGCCTGTTGGTTGTGACTCGTTCCGCTCAACAAGAAAATTCCCAATGGTCATGAAGGCCATTATGATGCCGGCAAGAATGAGAATGCCCGTCCTCCACTCATATCTATTGAAGAGCTCTTGGAGGACAAGGGAGAAAAAGATTCCTCCAACCGCAGAGCCGACTGTGACACACCCTGTGGCAAGACCTTCTCGTATCTTGAACCACTGGCTGACCACAGTGAACCCTACCGTCGTGGGGGCAGCTGTCGAGTGGGAGGGCGTTAGCGGGCATCGTGAAGCAGCAGGTGGTCAAACCCCCCGAATTTCCGGAAGAAGAGTACATACCGCATGATATGCCCGCCACTACGAAGCAGGCCATGAACTGACCATAAGTGGTTGAGAAAGCCAAGCCAATGAAGGAAGCAACGTAGATCGTACTGCCTACCAGTAAGAGTGAACGCGGCCCAAAGCGATCGAAGAGGATCCCGCATGGTGCGGCAAAGAAACAGTCGAGAAAACCAAAGACAGAGATGATCCATGAAATGTCGCTCTTTGAGTATCCGCGAAGCTGATGTTGCTCCCATTCGGTCTGAAAGAGCCCGATGCTGCTGAGTAGCCCGTAGGAGGGAACAATCAGGCAAAAACACCCGATCACGACGAGCCAGGGTCTCCAGCCATGGTCGAGGTTGGCGACGGTCTTTTCCTCGTTCGCTTGACTGCTTGCATGGGTGCTTCCGTCTTGAGTGCTCGGGATCCAGGGACCCGGTTCATGGTTCGCGATCGTTGGTACTGCGCCACGGGGAGCCAAGATGTCCGGGGTAGGTAGTCTGAATCGAGTTGCCGAGGATGTGGTCAGATATCACATTTCAACCAGACCTTTCCCTTTCACAAATGTGGGACCTCGACAAAGACAACGCCAAAGTCTTACTCACTCTGAATTGAAGTCATATCGAGCATCAACCTCCGAGGTTGCACCCTTCTGAGAGGACCAGTCGAAGCCCAACATTGCTGCAGGAGTATAAAGACTCTTCACTGAATGCCTCGTTTGCCGATGTCGAGATGAAGCCGTGTCGTTTGTGCGATATTGTCGAGTGTTGTCTTCTGAAATCTTTGCAACAGGCCGTGCACTTAAGAACGAGAGTCGCTTGCCCGGTCAGTATTTGCTTTCCGGGAACACTTGCTGAACAAGGGGCAGTCGGGAGACATAGTATAGAGGTAAGAGCAGCCATTACCTGGGTTATGCCCACGCTAACGCTTGGAAGAAAGGAAAGTCGGAAGAAACGAAGATAGAAGTTTACCTGAGTCAACATACCAATCTGGCACTTAATATTGAGCTTCGTCGGCAGTTTTTGACAGTCCTCGTCCTCGCGCTATTCCAGTGAGGTTGATTGCGTTCTGACGAAGGCCCCGAGATGATAGGGCATGATGGCGATGATGGTGATCTTATGGAATTCTTAGAGTACTTCATGTATGTATTAAGCCACCAGGTTTGACCGTATGAACACTTAGCTGAATTTCCCCGTCAGGGTACAAAGCACCCCCCGGCACATCGGCAAACATCAGATGTAAGCGAGTGACAGGTTACCGGCACTTCGGGCGCGTTCGAGGATTAGGCAAGGATAAAACGCAGATTCTTGATCTTTGTTGCAGAAGCAAGAAGATTTTGGCCTCCCCACCTCTCGCACGGAGTTGATAACCTCTCCGTGGCTCAGAACCTGGGAAGACACCACAATGAATCCTTGATACCGTAGGTGGTAGTAAGAATCGGGACGACAAATCCACTGACTGTCAAGAGTGATTTTTGTCGCCCCCTTTTCACTACCACCTATACCGCCATACGCCTCTACACGTAGCTGACTGGGTGGTGGGTCTAGGGACACACGTGAATAGTCTCGACTTAGAGGGTCAAGAGATTGGTGACCGGTCTCCCTTGTGATTAGTAACCTTGAGCCAGGAAATTTTCAGTACAGCCTGGGAGTGAGACGAATTCCAATCTCCTGATCTCAAACTTGACTTTGCCGCAAGGTGGCAGGGCTTTGTTGGTAGTAGATTACAAAACTGGAAGTGGCTGATCGAGAGTGAATGGAAGTACGTGATCATCAACCTTTGCACCCCTGCCCATTCACTTCATCAAGTTCGAGGAAGAATTCCGAAGGCAACCTAGAAATCCGCAAATCCAGGAGCAGTCACCATGTACCTCGTGGCCATCCTCTTCATTGTTCCTCGAACATAAAAGCGGTGTGTCCACCGCCTCCAGCAATCCAATTTCAACTTTCGAGTATCGGTTCTTCAGCACGGGGGCCACTTCTGCTTGGTGTTTTCAACCAAGCGAGTTCAACGCAACTCTCACCTCCTCGCTTTGCCAATCATAATCCAATACACAATGCTTTCCAGAGTCATTCGACCCAACCGGGTCATTCGTGGCCCAGTATTTCAACCCAACCCCGTCTCATCGCGAAGGACCGGCTCCTCTCTACGTCTTCAAGCCCAGGTAGCCGATGTCAGCAAAGGCATCGACACGGCTGGCTGTTCTCTCCCGGCCTTCATCGGCAACCCCAACATCCAGAGCGAGCCGTCTGTTGTCGGACCGATCGGCACCCCGCCGTATGATTCCCCCGGTGCCGCCAAACTCGAGAACGTTCTCGCAAATCCTGTCTCTTTTGAGATTCAGAGTGACCGCGATGAGTTTTGGCGCAAAGTGCCTTATTGGGCAGATGTGACAGCCAAGGACTTTCTATCGTATCGCTGGAGTGTAAGTGAGATGTGATATGCCCTGTCCCAGCTACAAGTGCTAGCTACCCACGATTCTTCGTTGCATTCATCGGTTTGGGATATCGTCCTGCTAACCTCCATGAATTGGCAGGTCGCCAATACCGTACAGGGCACAGTCAAGCTCTTCAAGTTCTTGCAAGCCGTCGTCCCAGAAGAGGTGCCTGTGGACAAGCTCGGCATGCAGATGCAGTCCCGTGACGAATTCATCAAAGACGTCCTCGATGGTGTGGCTGCTGCAACGATGGCAATCCGAATGACGTGAGCACTAGTGTAGCCCTTGCTTATCACGAATCTCTTCGTCGTATCAAGCTAACCATGCGTATGGCAGACCATACATCCTGAGCCGCATCAACTGGCTAGATCCTCGCCATGACCCCATCGCCCGGCAGTTCTTGCCAATGAAGTCCGTCATGCTTCCCGACCATCCGAAGCTCACACTTGACTCGCTCCACGAGACTGCCGACTCGCCCGTCAAGGGTCTAGTACATCGGTACACAGACAAAGCACTGTTTCTGCGTAGGTCCTCCCTTGCGTCGTGCCGCCCCCGCCAATAACGCCCATTCTGATGGTGAATTTGGACAGCGACTTCGGTTTGTCCCACATATTGCATGTTTTGCACCCGCTCTTACGCGGTTGGAGCCGATAAAAATACCGTGACGAAGGCATCCCTGAAGCCGACCCGCAGACGTTGGGAGGAGGCTTTTGACTACATTCAGAGCCGACCGGAACTCCAGGATATTGTAGTGTCTGGCGGTGACTCATACTACCTCCAGCCGGAGCAGCTGACTCTCATCGGCGAGCGCTTGATTAGCCTACCCAACATCAAGCGGTTCCGCTTTGCTTCCAAGGGATTAGCTGTAGCTCCGACTCGAATTCTGGATGAGTCCGATGGCTGGGTGAATGCCCTCATTGATATCTCCAACAAAGCCAAGAAGGCCGGAAAGTCGATGGCGTTGCACACTCACTTCAACAGCCCCAACGAGATCTCGTGGATTAGCTCGGATGCCTCTCAGAAGCTCTTTGAGAATGGTGTCATGGTCCGTAATCAGACCGTCTTGCTTCGCGGCGTCAACGATGATTACGAGACCATGTCAACCCTCATCCGCCAGCTAGCCGACAACAATATCACACCTGTAAGTCACCTCTGCAATCAACATTTCGTGAGTGTCAGATTCTAACGTCAAAGTCAGTACTACGTTTACCAGTGCGATTTGGTTGAGAGGGTGGAGCACCTTCGCACGCCCTTGCAAACCATTCTGGACCTAGAGGCCAAGATCCGCGGGTCAATTGCAGGTTTCATGACTCCCTCTTTTGTCGTCGACCTTCCTGGTGGAGGGGGGAAGCGGCTTGCATGCTCCTATCAGAGCTACAACCGTGACACGGGCGTGTCAACCTTTGTGGCCCCCGCCATCACGGGTCGGGACAAAGCCGACAAGGTCTATGAGTACTATGACCCGGTTGACATGCTCCCGGAAGCCTCGCGAGGGGTATACAAACCCTCAATATAACGGACGGTGACTGGTCATACTCCAAGGGGTATATGGCGTAAGGTATCGGAATCTAGCTCCAACTACCACGGTTCCGGAAGTTTATTGCTGGCGTAATTAGGTTGCCTGATCTTGCAAGTTGGAAGTTCAACCTGCAGTTAAGCTAGCCCATTGCAGTTCGATGAGACTAGGTGACAAGGTAATGAAGGGTGTCTTTTTGCATCGAAGCCTCATTAAGCCAAGGGAGGAATTCATCGGTTTGGGCGGTGGCTGGATGATATTGTGCGTTTCCAGATATTGTCACATCTAGGTAGTTAACTGCTCGTGGAATCGACTTTGTAATTCGACAAGTATCCATGCGGGCGAAATAGCAACGTACATTGTGAATAATGCTCACAGACCTGAGTTGTGTCCTGACAAGGTGAACTTTTTGTCATTTGAAACTCAACGACCCGTTAGTCTCATGCCGTGTGGTGTTCCAGTTCAGCTTGAGCTTTCTTTGCCTTGACCCCCATCACCAAATTGTGGCCCATTGCTTCTGAAACTGGAATAAAATGCACCTTAAAGATGTTTGCATAATGGCAGTTCCTCCTGTAAGTCATGCCAGTAAGCGTTTTCTTCTTTTCGTGAAGGCCTCCCTCGGTATTTCGGGGTAGGTAGATCAATTGTGATCGATGACCATCGGCTTTCGGTCGGCAAGTCTTTTCAAGCTGGCATGATTCATGATTGCTCGACGATAGTGCAACCCAGTGTTTGTGTTCATCGGCAATACTCGTCAGGCTGCCCACTACTAGTCAGTGGAGATTTTATATCGAATAGCAAACAAGAAGATGATTGTGCCTCGGCGTTCTGATTCAAAGCTGTCTTCATACGTGGACCACTCCAGTGGGAAGTTGTTCTTCAAAATTGCCTTGGCAGGAGCTGCAAAAGCGGCGACATACGCTGATATTCATGTCTGGTCCGTTGAAGGAGAACTCTTTGATATGGAGCTGACATTGCAAAAGCATTATATCACATCCAACCGCTCTGTTGCTGTGTCGTCTCTTGCCTTAAGACGGATGAGACAAAGTATCTTATCGAGAATTTTGCTATTCGTAATGCTTCCTGGTTTCGATCATCCCAGTAAACGATGGTGTAACAAAACCTGTTCGAGGGACAGCATGTCCCAAACCATCCGGAAGCAAGAATAGCTTGGGCTGGCTGGTAAGCCTATGCGGGAACCGGCGTTTAAAAAATCAGCCGCTCGCATAACTTCCAATATGCCGGGCGGGCAGACTGGCCAGACTGCCAGTGACTTGAAGCAGGTATGAACAATATTCAAACCGACTTTGTTGGCGACGCTGACAATGTGCAACTCTGTTGAGCAAGCGTTGATTCGGTTTCCGAGAAACGTGAGAGCTGATCTGTGTGTTTCCGAAGTCGA